ACCGCCACCCACCACCTCATGGACGCCACCACTAGCATGGAGCTCAAGAGAGCGCTAGCAAAGAGACCAGTTACACTGTCTACTGAGCTGGAAGCCAAAGTTGAAAAAGCCATCACTTTGGAAGAAACGCTAGGCGCGGGTTCCATCCGACGTTTTGAGCCCGCCAAAATGCCCAAAGAAGAGCAAGCTCGTAGATAGCTCCCCGTGCCGCGGGACCAGCTGTTCCAAGCGCACAGCGGCGCCAGACGCCCACCACCTCCTCTAGAACAGGCCCATCGAGGACGGTCGCCAGAGAGGCGCCCGTCAAACTATACTCCCCTCAACGACACAGTCAAGAACGTCTACCACGTTCTACGAGAGAAGGGGTAAAAGATCAACTGGCCCGCCCCCATGAAGACACTCCCGCACATGCGCGATCCCAAGAAGCGCTGTGAATTCCACAGAGACACGGGGCACTGGACAGAAAACTGCAGAGAGTTGCGCTATGAGATCGAGGGCCTCATACAAAGGGGACTACTGAACGAGTTCATCCACGGAGCGGAAGAACCGGTGGAGCGCCCTGTGGGACCCCCACCACCACCATAGGCTGACTATGACGACTCCTCGGGCTCGTACGTAGTGTGAAAGGAAATAGGGGTGGTAACTGTAGAAGGAGACCGCCCGAAGAAAAAGACCAAGCGCGACCGCGCTATAGAGTGCGCGGCAGCGGTAGCTGCACAGAAGTGCAACCTGAGCTTCGACGACGCTGAACTACCCGGAGGGGTCCCTTCGGAGGACCCACTCATCATCACCGCGCTCGTCGCCGCCTGCAAGGTTCGTCGCCTACTGATTGACGGGGGCAGCGCGGCGGACATCCTTTTCAAAAGCACGGTCGACCAGATGGACATCGACCCGCGGCTAATCAAGCCCGCTTACGGGAACTTGGTCGGTTTTTCCGGCACAAGGGTCCCAGTTATCGGGGTGGTCACTCTTCCAGTCGTGCTTGGGGACCAAGAGCCACGCGTCTCGAAGCAAGTCGAGTTCACGATAGTCGACTGCAAGTCCCCCCACAATGGAATTTTCGGCCGCCCGCTCTTGGCAAAATTCATGGCTCTCCCGTCAACATGCCACCAGAAACTCAAATTCCCCACCAAGGAGGGGAGCGGAGAAGCGCGCGGGACGACGTGGGAGGCCCCAAAGCCAGAAGAAGTCCGCCAGACCAACATTGTTGACACAAGGGCGGAAGAACCTCGCCCGGAATCAATGGATTCTGACTTCGAAGTCGCCCTCGATCCGAGCAAGCTAACCCACAAAGTACGCGTCTCAACTCACGTCCCTGGAGACGCGATTGAACCGCTAATAAAACTGCTGAAGGAGTATAAGGAATTGTTCGCGTGGTGCACGGAAGACATGCCGGGCGTACCAAGAGAAGTCGCCCAACATTCCCTTGGGGTCCCAATTAGCGCGACCCCACGACAACAGGGGCGGCGGAGCTTTACGGGCGATAAGCTTAAAGCAATTGAGGAAGAAGTGGCGCGCCTATTGTCGGCGGGGTTAATCCGTCCAGTGAAATACCCGAAGTGGCTGGCGAATGTGGTGTTGGTGAAAAAGTCCTCGGGAGCTTGGCGAATGTGCGTCGACTACACGACGATCAACAAGGTGTGTCCAAGGGACCCCTACCCGCTGCCGCGCATCGACCAACTGATCGACGCCACAGCTGACCATGAAACACTGTCCTTCCTGGACATGTTCTCAGGGTACCACCAAATCCCAATGTCGCGCGAAGACGAAGAGAAAACAGCCTTCATGACGCCGTTCGGAAACTTCTGTTTCGTCGGAATGCCATTTGGGCTGAAGAATGCTGGCGCGACATACCAGAGGATGATCGACACGGTGTTCACGCAGCAAAGGGGACGCAATATTGAGGCATACGTGGATGACCTCATTGTCAAGACCAAGGCTGGGAAATCACATCTAGACAACCTGCGCGAGACATTCGAAGCGCTCCGCAAGTACAGTCTCTGCCTGAACCCGCTGAAATGTGTGTTCGGAGCAGAGGCCGGAAAGTTCTTGGGATTCATGATCACCAAGCGCGGCATCGAGTTCGACCCAAAGCAAATCACCGCAGTCCAAGGCTTGCGTGCGCCAAGAAACACATTGGAGATCCAGTCCCTGAACGGGAAAATCGCGGCACTGGGAAGGTTCATCCCAAGATCAGCGGATAAGTGCGCTCCATTCTTCAAGACACTGAAAAACGGTGCGCGATTTGCGTGGACCAAGGAGTGCGAAGCGGCCTTCCTAGAACTTAAAGCCTATCTTGTTTCCCCCCCTGTATTGACTGCCCCAAAAATTAATGAAGAACTTTTTATGTATCTCGCCGTGTCCACAAGAGCCGTAAGCGCAGTACTAATATCCAAGAGAGACAGTCAGGGCGAGCGCCCGGTGTACTATACGTCGCGAACTCTAGCCAGCGCAGAAACGAGATATTCCCCTATCGAGAAAGCAGCATTGGCACTGGTTAGCGCCGCACAAAAACTACGCCCGTACTTCCAGGCACACCGAATCACCGTCCTGACTAACTGGCGCCGTTGCCGGGGACTTTCTAGAGTATTAGGAAAGGCAGAAGTTTGTTACTTTAGCTTTTTTCTTTTCTTTTCTTTTCCACCCTTGCTTTTCACTTGGGTGTTTTTGTTGGTGCAGATCTGAATCATGGATCCTAATGGCTTCTCCAATCATTGGGGGTATCCACCACCATCCGGGTGGTATTACCCCGCGACTCCCTACAGCAATCAAGGAGGAGAAGACTATGGATTCGGGTTCCAGTACCAACCCCCTTACTACGGAGAACAATCAGACCCCTGGGCATATCAAGAACAACCTAATTACCAAGAAGACTTTCTCCCACAACCAGAAGGGCCATCGGAGATGGAGTTACCCATGGCGGCCTTCACGGGCCACTCTGCAGAGCCATGCTACACTTCACTGGAGGATCCGAACGAACAATTAAGGCTTCATGTGGAGTAGTTTGCTCGAGACACTGAGAAATCATGCTCTAAGATGGATCTTCAAATCAAAGCCCTTGCCACTTCCGATCCCTCCTTTCTCCATGATATGGAGGAGACTGTTCAGCGCTCAGCGAAGCAAACAGAGTGGGTCAAGCAAGTTTTCTCACATCTTGCTCAAGATCACTTTTCTGCTGCCACGCTAGAAGAGGTGGAGGATGACAAAGGCTATGGGAGCGTTGAGGAGCATACAGAAGTTATCACAGAGAACTCCCATGATAACCATGATCAGGAAAGTCCTTTGGTTGCAGACCACACCTTTCCTCATTTATGCTCTAACATGCTGGGCCCGTGCGAGGAGATGCAAGATGTTCCATTGAAGAAATTGCTTGGCGACTTGCTCTCCAATCTGTTCTAGAAGAAGAAGAGCGAGCAAGGATGAGGAAGAAAGTTGTGGATGATGAGGAAGAAAGAAAAGAAGAGGTGGTTCTTGATCTTTTCCCAGGGGTGATACCACATGAAGAAGAAAGGGGGGTTGAGGAAGCAATTGGCGTCCAGGCTGAGGATGAAGTTAAGGTGGAAGAGGCCTGCACCGGCCATGAGTTACATGTGATATCTCCACCAAACTTCGAGGAGCTGCTTGGCAAGGACCCATTTGCAGTGTCTCTTTGCCAGACCAAGGCCACATCAATATCGGTCCCTCTTGGTGGACGCGATGGTGGCCAATCGATGCTGTCATATTTGGGTTGGGGCAATGAGACGAGAGAAGAGAAGAAGAGGTCTCGAGGGTGGAGACTTCATCTGCATCAAGTACACGAGCCTTCATCACCTGCCACACCACATGCTCGTGACTTGAGACTCCACCTCATCGACGAGAACCTCAACTTCAAGGAGGTTCTAGCATGGACCGAAACTTAGGAGCCATCGTCCGGCTCACGACGTGAAAGAAGCGCTTTTTGGGAGGCAACCCAACCAGTTGGTTTGCATTTCTTTCTCTATTTCTCCTCGGTTGAGTCAGTTTTGTTATTTGATTTTAGAGTCAATAACTCAACCTTTGTGAGATTTTGAGTGGTGTTTGTGTTCTGATTACTCTCTCTTCCTGGAATGCACTGCCTGACCCGTACATCATCATTCACCCTTGATCTGGTAACTTCGTTCTACCCTCCTTATCTTTCCTCCATTGAGGACAATGTCGTGCTTAAGTGTGGGGGGGGGGGGGGTGGGGTGTTCGATTATGTATGCGGGTGAACGTTTGGCTGTTTGTGTGCTTGGAGCCTAGTCCACTTTCCAAATTTTTAAATTTGAGGGCTCCAAGTATTTGTTTCCTTGCAAATTGCCTGCTCAGTATGCTTTGAATTGACAGTCTCTATAGTAATGTGCAACCTAGGGAGGTAGTGTAGCACTATGGAGGATGTTGAAGTATAAGATTTTTCCTATCTAGCTCTCTGTTGTGCCAGTTGATTTTGTGAATTAGTGGAGCTAAGACCGTTGAATTCATGTGGTAATGGTGACTCTGTTTGGATTATGTTATGGACTCGTGTATCGAACAGGGTGCTCATATGGAAAATGGGAAGCAGTTGGTCCTCCATGTCAAAATCATTAAATCTTAAACATGGGGTAAGCCCAACGTGTGCGGCACCGTTCATTGCACAAAATTGGGTTTTGGAAGAGATTTTAGTGATCCTTAGTGGGGTACTCCTACAAGGTGAAGCTAAGTTGTCTCTAGTACAAGTAAAACTTCCACCCATTGAACGGTTTGCCTACTTGAGGATGTGTTTTTAAGGGCACGGATAGAGCTTCCGACCCCCCTTAATTTCATTGACCCTCCACACGAGTTGAGGAAAAGGAGTTAAAAGAAGTACTCTGGCGAGCTCCAGATGTACAGAAATTGCTCTTGCTCGACTAATAAGGGTCGACCGTGCAAAAGACTGCAGTTGGAACCCCACCAAATGAAAGAAAAAATGTAAACGAAAGTGAGAAAAAGGGGTTCCAACGGTGAAATGAAGTGAAAGAGCACCCCGGTACAACGAATCCTTGGTTGTGAATGGTGTGAGTCCCTTTATCCATGAACTGACTGTCTTACTTCTACTTTTTCTCATGATCCTGGCTTGAGTCTAGTACTCGCATTGAGAGAGATAGGGGACGTCTTAGAAGACCAGTTGACCTCGTAAGCTGCTATATGATCTAGGAAATCCTCTACCGAAGATCGGGGTTGTATGTTGCTATAGAGCTCTGGAGAGCTGCATTGGTTTGAGTTAGGTTTGCTTGGGGACAAGCAAACAGTTAAGTGTGGGGGGATTTGATGACTCGGTATTTGCACATGTTTTCCCCTTTGTTTCTTGATTGTTTGAGCTTGAATTATCGTGTCTTTGGCCTATTTTACGCTAGGTTGTGTTCCTTTGTCACATTTCAGGTCCTAGCACATAAAGTGAAGCATAGGCGCAAGTTTCAAGTCAATCATAGATCAATTGACGATTCGGGAGAAGAAACTCGGGTATGACTTGAAGAAGAATGGATTTCTACCTCACTTTATGGACAAAGAATCATGCAAGATTGTCATGAAAATAAAGAGGACGAGACTACGAGCGTCTGGGATCAAACGGCGACTGATTCGGAGTCCGGACGAGGGAGAAACGAAGCATTAAACAGAGGTTGAGCAAGCCACACGGGCACAACCCACACGGCCGTGTGACCTGGCCATGTGGCCGTGTGGAAATCACCGAGCCTTCACACGGGCAGCTGGGAAAGCCACACGGCCGTGTGGCCTGGCCGTGTGAGTCGGGAATTGCTGTTTAAAACCCGATTTTCAGCAAAAGGAAAGAGGGAGAGCTGGGTTTTGGATCCCAAACACCCAAGGGACGAACCCTAGAGAGAGAGAGAGCGACTTAGGAACATTCTTGGAGCTATTTTGGAGGATTTCTTCGCCATTGGAGCTCGAGAATCAAGCTTGGAGATGGAGATTGAAGATCTAGATCAGATTTCTGCAGTCTCTCTCTTCTCTATGGAGTAACTTCCCTTCACTTAGGTTTTGAGGAACCGTAGTTCCATGAGTTAGGATCTTTCTTGTATGAAGCTTTGGATGCTATATTGTTTGATTTTAATCGAATGATGCATGTTTATTGAGTCAATTGAAGTCTGATCAACTTTTCCTGATTCCTGCTGCAATCTGAGATAGATAGAATCTGATTAGGTTGCTAGAGTCTCATCATTCGGTAGTAGGAGATTGGCTATACGAGAGTTAGCCAGTTTACTGCTTTGTACTGGAATCCAATTCCAGTAGTGGAGTTCTGTGCTTATTGCTTCACCTTTCTATCCCGATGAAGACTAGTCGTCTGCTGGATAGTTAGACTGAGAGGGCTTGGTCAGCTTAAGAGATTCCAAGCTACTGTCAGATCTTCCGCAGTTTAATCAACAGTAAATCAACCAAAAGGAATTACAACTTGGACCTAATTGAGGAGCTAGGGGGAATCATACCTAAGTGAGTTCCCAAACTGTAATTAGTAGTTTCACTTAGTTGAGCTAGTAGAGTAGTTTAGTTAATCAACCCTTAATCTAGTTTGCTAGATAATGAACTGAAGCTGAGTAATAGTAACTCTAGGGACCCGTGGATTCGATATTTATTACTTGTGCCACTATACTGCAGTCCCTTTCATTGGTTACACTTGGCCATTGTTAGGTGTTGTGTTTTAGAGCATCACTAACCTCCCATTAAAAAAGATCCTAACCTCAATGGAGGTATCGGGACGGATGGTGAAGTGGGCCGTTGAACTGTCAGAATACGACATCCAGTACGCTCCGCGTCCAGCAATAAAGGCGCAAATCCTGGCAGATTTCATTGCAGAAGGGGTAACCCTCGAGACAGCCCCAGGAGTGTGGGAAGTTTATGTAGACGGCGCGGCAAGCAAGCATGGCGACGGCGCGGGGGTAGTCGTGCGCACACCCTTAGGTGTTGTGCACGAAATAGCGATCCGGTTCAGAGCACTGAAGACAAACAACGCCGCCGAGTATGAAGCCATCTTGGCGGGAATGGCGACTGCCAAGGACTTGGGCGCTAGAACAATCAGAGTACTCTCCGACTCGTCGTTGGCTGTCAACCAACTGAATGGAGCATTCGATGCCAAAGAAGATGCCCTCGCGCATTACATGGAGCGCGTCAAGCAACAAGCAACCACCTTCGAGGCGGTGACATACGTGCAGATACCAAGAGAAGAAAACATGCACGCTGACGCGCTATCCAAACTGGAAACAACAACAAACTTCGAGTCTACACGCCTAGTGACGGTACAGAAGGAGGAAGAGGAAACCAATCAAGAGCCCACGGTCAATACCACCCAAATCGCGGAAGACGACTGGAGAACCCCAATCATAAGGTTCTTACAAGACGGCGTGGTGCCAGAAGATGCAAAAGAAGCATGGGCCTTGAGGCAGAAGGCGGCCCGATGCACGATAATTGGCCTGGACTTATACCGACGATCATATTCCGGAACATATCTCAAATGCATCGGGAACGACGAAGCACGCAACATAGTGCGAGAGCTGCATGAAGGAATGTGCGCGATGCATGGCGGGGCGCGCAATATGGAGCGCACCATACTGTTACACGGGTACTATTGGCCGCGTGTGAAAAAAGATACAAAGAAGTATGTCGACGAATGCAACAAGTGTCAATTACATGCGCGCCAACACCACCTCCCATCGACCGAGTTCCAAGGCAACCTGAGCACCTGGCCCTTCGCACAATGGGGAGTAGACCTTCTGGGCCCATTCCCAACAGCAAAAGGGAAGCGCAAGTACATAATAGTGGCGGTGGATTACTTTACCAAGTGGATCGAGGCGGAGGCACTGGCCTCTATAACGGCGCACCAGGTAACCCGCTTCTTAAAAAATAATATCCTGGCGCGCTACGGAGTCCCGAACGCATTCATCTTCGATCATGGCAAACAGTTTGACTGCGCGGAGGTCATAGACTTCTGCGACCAAGTGGGAACCATCGCGAGGTTCGCATCGGTAGCCTACCCCCAGGCCAACGGCCAAGCGGAGGCAGCCAACAAGTCCATCTTACACGGCCTCCATACGAGACTAGGCGACGCCAAGGGAAACTGGGCGGATGAGCTCAACAAGGTGCTATGGGCGCATCGCACCACCTACAAAGTAGCAACGGGCGAAACCCCGTTCGCGCTGACCTATGGCACAGACGCGGTTATACCCATAGAGGTTACATTCCCAGCATACCGGGTCATGGCGTACAATGAGACAGACAACGACGAGGCACGACTGCTGGACCTAGAGCTAGCGCAAGAACGACGAGAGTTGGCAGCCATCAAACTAGCCGCAACTAAAGCTCAAGTAGCCAAATACTATAACGCGAAACTGGTCCCGCACAAATTGGCGCTCGGAGATCAAGTACTTCGCAGGAACTTCCGCCCCGACCCCAAACATGGCAAGCTCGCATCAACATGGGAAGGCCCATACCTAATCCGAGAGGTTGTCGGCGCCAATACCTTCAAGCTCAGCGAATTGGGGGGCAACAAAATTCCAAGAACATGGAACGCGTAGAATCTCAGGAAGTATCATTGCTCAAGTTAATGTAACATTTGTGCACGGCCACAAGAAATCAGTAATAATATTGGCTTCCCAGTCACTCGCGCTCTCACAGTTCGAAAGAACAAAAAATAGCAATAACTATGAGTTATTCGCGCCCCCCTTAGTTCGAAAGAACAAAAAATAGCAATGACTATGAGTTATCTGCGCCCTTACAGTTCGAAAGAACAAAAAATAGCAATAACTATGAGTTATTCGCGCCCCCCTTAGTTCGAAAGAACAAAAAATAGCAATAACTACAAGTTATTCGCGCCCCAATTAGTTCGAAAGAGCAAAATCTAGCAATAACCACGAGTTATCTGCGCCCTTACAATACGAAAGAAATAACAATAGCAATGACTGAGAGTCATTCGCACCACGGTCATTCACGCTAAAAGGCAGTATCCAAAAGTTATGCGGGCCAACACATGAACAAAATAGAAGTACCTTGCATTTCCATACGCGGGAACAAAAAAAAAGAAAAAAGAAAACAACGAAAAACACAAACAAGCACAAAACAGCGCTTCTACACTTGAAATCTATGAGGAGGACTTCTCAGCGGTGGTATCAGCGGTAGTGACGGCCACGTCCACATCCGCTGCCGCGCCTGAATCGCCCTTATCCTCCGCTGCAGCGGTATCTTCCTTACGCGCCTCATTGCCGTCATCTTCATCATCCCCGGCGTCCTCCCCCTCCTCATCATCCTCTTCCTCATCATCCTCCGAATCCAGCTCCAGTGATTTCTTCTCACGCAACCAAAGTTGCACATGCTGCACCATACTGCGACTGTTCCACCGGTAGCTCGGAACCTCCGGCCGCACCTTCTTGCCAACGGTGATGACAGCTTCGGTCATCGCATCCGCCAGTATCTTCCCAAAGGAGGGTGAAGATTTGTACTGGCGAACCGCCGCGACCTGCGCTTCACGCACAGCTTCCGATTTGGCCACATCATGAAGCTGAACCAAATCTCTCTTCTCCTTCTCAAAATCCTCCCGAGCCTGCTTCATCTTTTCAACATGATCCTTCTCTAGTTGGCTCTTCTCCCGCTCCCGCTTCTCCGCCAAACGTTTCTTTTCCCCCTCAAACTCCTCCCTCAACTCCCCTCGGACTCGAGTCCGCACCGCCTCCAACTGCTCTTCCAGCCGGCTCTGCAGAACGCCCAATTGCTCTAAAGCATCGTTGGCTTTGTTGGTAGCCAACTCTGCGCGACCCTCAGCTCAAGTCAGCTTACCTTCAAGCTGCACAATCCTTGATTCCTCAGCCTTCATCTTCGCGCGCTCCCGGCTCCGCTCCTGTTGAGCGCGGAAGATCGCCAACAAACCCTGTACCCACAACGCCACAGGACTTAGTACAAATAAAAAGAAGGGAAGAATGGCAACTCCTGCAACTATGCCAATCTTACCGCGAAGTGCACCTGCGCCAGGTCCTGAAGCGGATCCGACTTCTCCAATCGCGACGGGACACTCAGAAGAGGTCCCAGCGCCCGGAGGGCGTTGTTCGCGGCCGCAACGTTACACGCCGCGCCCGTGTGGATCCGCAGATCGCGGAAGTAGTCAATGGCGCCACCAGCCATCTGGGGCAATTTCTGCTGAATTGTAGCCCCAGATGAACCACCAGCCGCGCTACTTTCCGGCCGAGCGCTCCTATCCACGGGGGCTGTGGGCTCAACAATTACAAGCGGCTGTTGCCTCGGTATCCGCCCAGATGGCTCCACAATGCGAGCAGCCTTGGCAGGTTTCTCTGCAACCACGGGCTGATCAACCTCTTTCCTCTTCGTGCTCTTGGGCCGCGCGGCCTCTTTCCCCTTCCTCTTCCCAGCGCGAGGTGCCTTCACAATGTCGTCAACCGACATCATACTGGCCAAGCTGGAAAAATCAACACCTGCGCCAATAAGCCGTAAGAGGGCGGTTAATAAGATAGAATGCAAAATGAAAGAAGCACAACTAACCATCGGCAAAAAGTTCTTCTAAACAAGCTTCGCGGACTCCGCCATCGTATAAGTTGAACTTCTGATGCATGCACGCTTCATACTCATCATTGAGCTCAGCGTAATGCCCCAGGTCCGACTCATACCCATGCGTGCCGCCATTCTTCCACTCGGTCGGCTCCGCCATAAACTCACTCGCCCACTCCCCGGGGGTCGGTTTGACATAAAAGAAGCGATGAAACCAAGTATTTTTCAACTTGGGAGACCCATACACGAAACCCTCAGGTCTCTTGTCGCGCCGCTTGATAGAAAGGCAGTCGCTCCTCCCTCGTAGGATCCTTGATCTTATAGAAATTACGGAACAAGCCGTAAGTCGGCTCAATCTTAAGGCTCTTGCACGCGAGACGGAGGCAACTCGCGTGCATTATCACTGAAGGGGAGAGGCGCCCAACTGAGCAATTGAGACGCCGGTAAAGGGCGCACAGCAAGGGGTCGATGGGGAACTTGAACCCCATCACCCAGTACTCAGTATACATGCCAAACCATCCCGCGGGACAGTTCCCAACCATACTTCGCGCGGACGGGACCGCGTACTGTCAATGGGGGGCAAGCCTAACCCACGCACTATGTCCAACACGTCCTGGTACCCGTAAATGGACGCGTGATCAGGCCCCCTAAGAAGATTGTCACTAGGCGCGCGCTGATCACCCCACATCTCCGCCCAGTCAATCACGGTATACGCCGCGCCCACACCTCGGAAGCCCAAGCGGCTCATCGCTTCCGTGATACGTGTGGTACATTGCGGTTCTGACTGAGTGTCAGACCCTTCACGCCTCTCCGAGTCAGCCACACCAGATGCACCGCCGCGCGGCCGCCGGACAATCAATACCCCCTGCGCACCGGCGCTAGCCTGCCCACTCCCCGACGCAATGATCCCCTCGTCGGGCCCCCAGTTACCATCGACGTCGAGCGACGGCGACGCCGCCGAAACTACATCACCACCGTCGGCTCCGCCGCCGTCCCATGCTCAGAATCATCCAGATCCAGCGAAGGATCGGTAGAAACACGTGAAAAAGAAGAGGGATTACCTTCTTCGCCCTGCACGACCTCGGTCTCGTGAATGTTGGTGCTATCCATTACAATACTTCGAATCAGCAACAGCAAGATGAGAATCAGGTTGTAGAAGAAGGAGAGGAATCCTAGAGACGGCAAGAAAGCACAAAGAAACAGACGAAATTTTCCTTTTACGAAAGCAAAGTGAGTCACAACTTCTGGGCAGAGAGGGGGTATTTATACTCGACAACGGAAAGCTGAAGGGTTAAAGTGGCCTCGAGAAGCGCAACCGTCAGAGCCTTTTCAAATTTCAAAACGGCCGCCAAATCCGACCAACCGCACATGGACACGTGGCAACCTACCATCCCTAGGCACTAGCCGCTGACGTCATAACTTCCGCACAGCGCCTGGGGGGCAGGATACGCCCATAAAGGAAAAAAACACGCTCAAAAAATAATACCAACTAGGAAAGCGTCACGCACAACCCAGGAAACTCGCGGAACATTACCACTGGGGGGCAACACGAAACCAGAAGATTCACCCGCAACCACCCCAGGAGATCTCGACCACTCGCGGAACACACCTGATGGGGGGCAACGCGAAGACGTCGCGCACAATCAATCCCGGAGATCTCGGACGAATGGGAATCGGACGAAGGAAACACCAGTTGGGCTTGCCACCGACGATCACGCGAAGACCAGAGCAAACGCTAACCTACCCATGTCACGTCAATCATAATCAACAGGCGGAATCGCGCAGATCCGAGTCGCTCGCATGAAGATCAAACAGGCGGCATTCGCGGAATACCCCCTGATGGGGGGCAATTGTTGGGGATGTGACTCGGATCTCAACGCGCCGAACTAATACCTAAGGATGTTCACGCCAAAGCCAATGCGCGAGTCACGCCAGGTGAAAGCGCGAGCGCAGAGAATGGCCCGGAAAGACTGCGCATAAACGCCAAACGACGACACTTAGGTCAAGCGCGGGCCCTCACCGAGAAAGTGTGGAAGCGGCGCCGCGTCACCCGAAGGGTAGTCAACATCATAGTCCTAGGGTAGTCAACTTCATTGTCCTAGGGTAGTCAACATCATTGTCCTAGGCATAGTCATGGCTAGGGGCCTTATCACCCCTAGGGATATGGTCCTAGTCCCTGACACGTCAGAGGTCATGTCACCTTGCCGTAGTGGTCACATCATTGTATCCACTTGTAACCCAACCACTCACCCATCACCATGTAGCCTATAAATATGGCATTTACTCCGGTGGGTGAGGGGATCGGATTTTGGAGACTCTATCTCTAAGATCCCCACTTTATCTCACTAAAAAATACACTCTCCCTCAACTCTTTCTTCCCTCTCATTTGTCTCATAGTTCTTGTTCAACCAAGCCGTTCGTTCTTCTCGGCCCATTCTAGTGAACTTCACTCCTACACTCAGTTAGGTTCAAACATGATTTAAAGTTTAAAAACTTAGGCTTTTACGTTTGTAGGTCATAAAAACGTTTAAATAAAGAATCGTAGTTTTTATAACTATTGTAGTTAAAAGACGCTTTTAAACTTAAAAGGTTACGATTTTACGCTTTTACGTAGAAACACGCTTTTGACTACATTGGCCAAGTACAATTGACATTGTACGGTATCTAATTTTCTTTTTAAATGCGGCCCAGTGCTCTACTGTGTCCTAAATCCGCCGCTGGGTATAATGCATTTGAACCATAATTGAACTACAATTTTGGCATAAAATATCCTACCACTGATTTTTCCATTACCTTGATATTTTCACCTCTTTGAGTAAAGCCGTTGATTCATATACTTCCGCCATCTCACAAGAAGGAAGGAAGAAGAGAAAAGAGGTGTCTCTGGCGATTTATGTGACGAGGGGAAACCGGGAAAGATAATTTTGAGATCAACTCCGTCATTTCATTCTGCGTCTTCGGCAGCCAACCCAGTTTCATTACCCTTTCAAAATAAGAGTGCAATTATATATACAAATTTATGTATGTATAGGACGCACATGTTTAGGGTTAATTGTATGGTTGGTCACTGAAATTACAAAAAATGTTCAAGTTTGGTCATTCGAATTATTTAAATCCATTAGTGGTACTTCAGTTTACTGAAACTGTTTACGTTTGGTCACTCTCCGTCCAACTCTGTTAACTTTAGCTGACGTAACTTAGAGACGTGGCAATTAAGAAATAATAAATAAAATAAAATTTAATCTATTTTAATTTCCAACTCATTT